GTGTAGTGCTAACTTTACCTTGAGGGCATGATTATTTAGGCTTCCTTGTAGATTTTGAATGTGTTCTTTAGCCCTTAAATATTTAAAACATGTTTTTCTGAAGCAGTGATTTCTCTACATTATGAACTATATAAAATTTATTGGAACCCGTGTCTTGTAAAACTCCTTGTGAGCCTGGAGGAGCGTTGCCTGGATGTGTTGAGGCGGGTGGACCTGGCGGGGGGCTGGTAACAAGGCTCATAGATAATAAAAATTGACACTCGCAGTGGCCTGTGTGTGCAGAGGAGATCCCTCCAAGGCAAGTCAACGTGGTTGTCTTTTAATTAACGTTGAAATCAGAATATTCTCGAGCATGGAAACCTTTGCGTGCTAACTGCAATGAAGCAGAGGCCCCATGTTATCATAATAGCATCTTAAACCCAATAATGCATTTAACATCTGTCTAACAGATATGTCTATAAGCACCCTAATGCGATGCTGATGATAACAAAATCAAACAATGAGCTGGGGCATCTTGTTCAGGTGGTGACGAGCCAGGGCATCTTGTTCAGGTGGTGATGAGCCAGGGCATCTTGTTCAGGTGGCCAGCCTGTCCACCCCTGTGACGGAAATGAGTCCTGTGTTAGGGAAGGCACCCCTGAGCTGTTCTAGCACTGCTGAGAGTCAGCTGGGCTCGGTACTGAGCACGTTCAAGAACATCTTGAGAGGGTCTGAGCCTGGCACCAGGGACACAGATATTAACACTGGAGGTCTCACCTCCAGGCCCAGACCAGTCTGGTGGCCATGATGTTAAAGGAAGGCCCAGTTAGTCTCCTGCCATCCTTTCTGTGCCTGGGGAGTGCACTGGTCACAAAGGATCAGTGTCTACACCACACAGCTCCTGCGCAGTAGTCGAAACACTCCACCCTGAAGTCACAGCCCTGAGTCACAAGGTCACTGAGGGACCGGGATGCTTCTCTGGTGACTTTAGCACCCTACATTGTACCCTCTGCAGCAGATTGGCAAAGGGAGAGAGGTGGGGAGCAGGAGGGTCACATGGAGGGGCAGGAAGCTGTGCGGGAAGGGGCACCCCCATTTTGACTCATTTCTCTTAGCCAGAACTCAGGGTTCTGATGAGAGAGTGTGAGAACAGAGCCCAGGAGGGGATGGAAGGGCTGGGGTCAGAGGAGGGCACGTGTATGCCCTCTGCCCTTTCCATGCTGACCCCATTCCCCCAGGAATTCTCATTCATGGCTCCGACCCAATGCTTGGCACAGAGCAAGTGCCCAGTGTGGAGCTCTGGACCGTTGTAAAGACGATTAACAAAGGCCTCTCACAGTACAGCAAACATGTGAGAAGTGCCCAGTGTGGAGCTCTGGACCGTTGTAAAGACGATTAACAAAGGCCTCTCACAGTACAGCAAACATGTGAGAAGTGCCCAGTGTGGAGCTCTGGACCGTTGTAAAGACGATTAACAAAGGCCTCTCACAGTACAGCAAACATGTGAGAAGTGCCCAGTGTGGAGCTCTGGACCGTTGTAAAGACGATTAACAAAGGCCTCTCACAGTACAGCAAACATGTGAGAAGTGCCCAGTGTGGAGCTCTGGACCGTTGTAAAGACGATTAACAAAGGCCTCTCACAGTACAGCAAACATGTGAGAAGTGCCCAGTGTGGAGCTCTGGACCGTTGTAAAGACGATTAACAAAGGCCTCTCACAGTACAGCAAACATGTGAGAAGTGCCCAGTGTGGAGCTCTGGACCGTTGTAAAGACGATTAACAAAGGCCTCTCACAGTACAGCAAACATGTGAGAAGTGCCCAGTGTGGAGCTCTGGACCGTTGTAAAGACGATTAACAAAGGCCTCTCACAGTACAGCAAACATGTGAGAAGTGCCCAGTGTGGAGCTCTGGACCGTTGTAAAGACGATTAACAAAGGCCTCTCACAGTACAGCAAACATGTGAGAAGTGCCCAGTGTGGAGCTCTGGACCGTTGTAAAGACGATTAACAAAGGCCTCTCACAGTACAGCAAACATGTGAGAAGTGCCCAGTGTGGAGCTCTGGACCGTTGTAAAGACGATTAACAAAGGCCTCTCACAGTACAGCAAACATGTGAGAAGTGAACTTCCTGCACGCAACCCACCCTGTGCCCCTTACCACACATCGTGTGTGCTGTCCATGTACTCCACAGGGTGGCAGGAAAGACAGAGTTCCCAAGTAACCTGCCCCGTGGGGGTGATGGAAGTGCTGGCTTTTCCACTGTTGCCGTTGGTACCAACAGAGCCTGGGAGAGCCGAGCTCCCAGGGGAGGGCCAAGGGACAAGGTGCAGTGGCACGGGTGCACTGCTCTTCCCCCCTTATCTGAGCCCAGAGGGGTCCTGCCCCAGGCACCTCCCACAGTGCAGCTCCTGAGCCTGCGCCAGCCCAGCCTCCCATGCTGCCTGTCTCCTTGAAGGACCGTCAGCCTGTTCTTGCACTAATTATGGCCTGTCATCCGGAACAAATACCTCATATGACAAGCGAGATAATTAATACGCTCAGAGAAAAGTTTCTTTTTTCTTAATTAAAGCACACAATTCCCTTTAAAAGCAAGAAAATATCTATTGTCTCCAGCCGGTGCAAGCACATACCGGGGCCTGTAGAACACCTGTGATTTGGTTATATTGTGTTTTCCATTTTCTTTTTAAAAATAAAAATAACGAGTAGTTAGACCTTCTTTTTCTCAGAATAAATATAACCCAGGAAGCACCAAACAGGCAGTGAGGATGGTTCGTGAGTGTCATCTGAGGCACCCAGTTGCTGTGCTAGGGATTATCATGACCTTGGCCATTTACAAAGACAAGAGATGACTTGTTGGTTAAAGTGCTTGCCATGCAGCCATGGGGCCCTGAGTTCAGTCCTCAGATCTCGTGCAAAAAGTCAGGTATGCCGGTGCATGCATACAGCCCCAGTGCTGTGGAGGTGGACAGGAGGACCCCCAGGGCTTGGTGGTTAGCTGGTCTATATGAATCTGCGATCCCCAGGCTAATGAGACCCTCTCTCTGAAAATTAAAGAAGATAGCTCCTGAGGTCAGACATCTGAGGTTGTCTTTTGACCGCCATATGTATGCTCATACACATGCATAGGTTTGCACACATATATGCACTTACAAATTAACATATACACACATACTAAAAATGATGAAGGAGCAGAAAACTGTAAAATATTTTATTTTCCTTTAATTTTATGTGTATGAGTGTATTGCTTACATATATGTAAGTGCACCTATGTGGTGCACATGTCCATGGAGGTCAGAAGAGGGTATCATATCTCCTAAAACTGGACTTACAGATGGTTGTTAGCGACCATGTGGGTGCTGGTTATTGAACCCAGGTCCTCTGCAAAAGCAGCCAGTGCTCTTAACCATTGAGCTATCTCTCCAGCCCTGGAGCTGAGAGCTTTAAGATAAACTAGTTGTCAGAGGCTGGCAGATCAGAGCCAGTAAGTTCTGCCCCCTGAACCTGAATCCTTCCTACAGGGTGGGATTTGAAGTAACTCAAATCTTCAAACCAAGTGTTACTAGAGACGAGGCTGCCAGTTCCCCATGTAACAGCAAGAAACAGACACCTGTCGCCTGTGGAAGAAGGCAGGAAACGTGCATGCTGAGGGCAGCAGGCTTCTTGTCCCCCGGTTCTCCCGGCAACAATGGACCACAAGTGGATCCCCAAGTGAAAAGCCTGTGTGTCAGACCCGCACCCCCCATGACTAATACAGAGGAGCCTGGGGGAGCAGAAACCCGCAAGCAGCCATGACAACGGGACGGAGAAACCTGAGTATCTACGCGTGTGCTGTGTCACAACAGCCCACCCCAGCTCTGCTCCTACACCTCAGGAAACTAATCACCTTGCCCAAGGTCATTTCAAGAGATAAGACAGGGATAAAATTCTGTGCTCCAGGCCGCCGTCACCTTATCCCCTCCATTTGGAGGCTAGCAGTTCAGCGTTAGCTCATCCTGATATATGCTTCCTTCTCTTCTTGAAAAATGTTCGATTCCATGGCTTTACCCATCAGGGAAAAAGAAAGAGCATACAGTTTCTTGTAAGAGGCTCTCCTACGCTCACAGCTCTTTGCCTTTCTAAGAAGCTGTGAGGCCAGGGCAGGCACAGACCCCTGTGTGCAAGAGCTCTAGGCCCACAGTGCTGAGGAGACCCCCCAGATAATTCATGTGACAGAGACAGCCACGTCTGGAAGCCAGAAGACATTTGGGACATTTGAGAAGCTCATGCTCAGTGTCTGAAACCCTGGGCTGGACTGAGTTTCCACAGAAGAGGCCCAGGGTTCATCAAGGAGGCCTCATACCTGGAGGGGCTGGTGCAGGGTGCCTGCACCCCAGAGGGGGCAGCTGACCCTGGCTTCAGGGTGGGAGGCAGGAGAGGGGGCATCTGTGCACCACCTACGCTGCCAGGAGACTCAGAGACTGAATGGGGTTCATGTCCATGTCCACTGTGAAGAAGGGCTAGAAAGTGAGATGACTCGTTCATTACCTCATTCTTGGGCACTGGCTCCAGCTTCACCTGCAGGAGGCTGGACTCACCCAAGAACAGACACTCATGGAGAAAATTAAAGGGGGGGGGCTATCCTAACAGGATGGGGTCATCACTTTCAATTAACGGCCTGTGGTGGCTAAGGGCAGGTCACAAGGTCACACTTCATCCTGCAGGGAGCATCAATCAGCCAGACACAGGAAAGAGACAAGATGTGAGCCACAGGGGCTGCAGCCCTCACTATGACAGCGCACCTCAGTGTGGGCACCAGGCCAAATGCCAAGGTCTGGCTAGATTAGCAAGAAGTAGGACAGGAAGAAGCTGGGCAGGACTGATGTGGATGGACATGGGTGGAGGTGGGTGGATGTAGTGGGTGTGGGTGGAGGTGGATGGAGGTGGATAGCTGTGGATGGAGCTGGATGGATGTGTTGGAGGTGTTTGGAGGTGGATGGAGGTGTTTGGAGGTGTTTGGAGGTGGATGGAGGTGGATGGAGGTGGATGGATGTGTTGGAGGTGTTCGGAGGTGGATGGAGGTGGATGGATGTGTTGGAGGTGTTCGGAGGTGGATGGAGGTGGATGGATGTGTTGGAGGTGTTCGGAGGTGGATGGAGGTGGATGGATGTGTTGGAGGTGTTCGGAGGTGGATGGAGGTGGATGGATGTGTTGGAGGTGTTCGGAGGTGGATGGAGGTGGATGGATGTGTTGGAGGTGTTCGGAGGTGGATGGAGGTGGATGGATGTGTTGGAGGTGTTCGGAGGTGGATGGAGGTGGATGGATGTGTTGGAGGTGTTCGGAGGTGGATGGAGGTGGATGGATGTGTTGGAGGTGTTCGGAGGTGGATGGAGGTGGTGGATGGAGGTGGATGGATGTAGTGGATGTGGATGAATGTGGATGGAGGTGGATGGGTATGGATTGGTGCAGGTGGATGAGTCTCCACATTCACAGTCACCTCCTCTCCAACTTTATTCAGTACAGCATGAGTCTCCCCATGTGGCATGATTGGTCATTATGGAGGGAGGGAGCGAGTGTGTCTGTGACTTTGTGCATTCAGCCTCCTCCCTCCTGCCACAACAGGGCTTTCTCAGTGAGTACCAGGCCTGGGAACACCCATCTGGACCCAGTGCTGTCTTCAAGACAGTCCAGGCTCTGGGAGAAGGCTATTCTGCTTTTCTTGGCCCCCAAGTTCACAGAGTCCAGCTGTCCCCTGGCCCAGGAACCGGGTGTTCAACTACACAACAAGGAGCAGGTGCATCACCAGTTTAACTCATGAGACACAGTTCACAAGAATTACTGAGTAGGGACTATGGAAAACACAGAGCCACCTGACCAGCCATTTACTCAGTATTTACCTTTGATTTCTTTCAATATAGTTTTACATTTTTCCACATACAGATCTTGCACACATTTTGTTAGATTTATAGGTAGGTAGCTCATGCTGGGACAGTTAATGCAAGTGGTATTGAACTTTTATCTCAAACTCTACTTATTTGCTGTGGGTTTAGGAAGATGACAGACTCTAGTGTATCAGCCTTACATCATGAGGTCTTGGTGTAATTGCTTATTAATCCTAGGAGTCATTTTTGATTGTTGTTTTTAGACAGAGTCTCCCTGTAGCCCCAGCTGGCCTGGAACACACAGCCCCTACTGTCTGACATATCCCCTCCTATCCTCTCCTCCTCTCCCATCCTCCTCTCCCCGTCACGTCCCCTCCTCTCCCGTCACGTCCCCTCCTATCCCGTCACGTCCCCTCCTATCCCGTCACATCCCCTCCTATCCCGTCACATCCCCTCCTCTCTCGTCACATCCCCTCCTCTCCCGTCACGTCCCCTTCCTCTCCCGTCACATCCCCTCCTATCCCGTCACATCTCCTCCTCTCTCGTCACATCCCCTCCTCCCCCCCCATCCCCCCCCCCCCGTCCCCCCCCCCCCCCCTCTCCCTCCCCCCTCCTCCCCCGTCCCCTCCCCTCCCCCCCCCCTCACCCCCCCTCCCTATCCCGTCACATCTCCTCCTCTCTCGTCACATCCCCTCCTCCCCCCCCATCCCCCCCCCCCCGTCCCCCCCCCCCCCCCTCTCCCTCCCCCCTCCTCCCCCGTCCCCTCCCCTCCCCCCCCCCTCACCCCCCCTCCCTATCCCGTCACATCTCCTCCTCTCTCGTCACATCCCCTCCTCCCCCCCCATCCCCCCCCCCCCGTCCCCCCCCCCCCCCCTCTCCCTCCCCCCTCCTCCCCCGTCCCCTCCCCTCCCCCCCCCCTCACCCCCCCTCCCTATCCCGTCACATCTCCTCCTCTCTCGTCACATCCCCTCCTCCCCCCCCATCCCCCCCCCCCCGTCCCCCCCCCCCCCCCTCTCCCTCCCCCCTCCTCCCCCGTCCCCTCCCCTCCCCCCCCCCTCACCCCCCCTCCCTATCCCGTCACATCTCCTCCTCTCTCGTCACATCCCCTCCTCCCCCCCCATCCCCCCCCCCCCGTCCCCCCCCCCCCCCCTCTCCCTCCCCCCTCCTCCCCCGTCCCCTCCCCTCCCCCCCCCCTCACCCCCCCTCCCTATCCCGTCACATCTCCTCCTCTCTCGTCACATCCCCTCCTCCCCCCCCATCCCCCCCCCCCCGTCCCCCCCCCCCCCCCTCTCCCTCCCCCCTCCTCCCCCGTCCCCTCCCCTCCCCCCCCCCTCACCCCCCCTCCCTATCCCGTCACATCTCCTCCTCTCTCGTCACATCCCCTCCTCCCCCCCCATCCCCCCCCCCCCGTCCCCCCCCCCCCCCCTCTCCCTCCCCCCTCCTCCCCCGTCCCCTCCCCTCCCCCCCCCCTCACCCCCCCTCCCTATCCCGTCACATCTCCTCCTCTCTCGTCACATCCCCTCCTCCCCCCCCATCCCCCCCCCCCCGTCCCCCCCCCCCCCCCTCTCCCTCCCCCCTCCTCCCCCGTCCCCTCCCCTCCCCCCCCCCTCACCCCCCCTCCCTATCCCGTCACATCTCCTCCTCTCTCGTCACATCCCCTCCTCCCCCCCCATCCCCCCCCCCCCGTCCCCCCCCCCCCCCCTCTCCCTCCCCCCTCCTCCCCCGTCCCCTCCCCTCCCCCCCCCCTCACCCCCCCTCCCTATCCCGTCACATCTCCTCCTCTCTCGTCACATCCCCTCCTCCCCCCCCATCCCCCCCCCCCCGTCCCCCCCCCCCCCCCTCTCCCTCCCCCCTCCTCCCCCGTCCCCTCCCCTCCCCCCCCCCTCACCCCCCCTCCCTATCCCGTCACATCTCCTCCTCTCTCGTCACATCCCCTCCTCCCCCCCCATCCCCCCCCCCCCGTCCCCCCCCCCCCCCCTCTCCCTCCCCCCTCCTCCCCCGTCCCCTCCCCTCCCCCCCCCCTCACCCCCCCTCCCTATCCCGTCACATCTCCTCCTCTCTCGTCACATCCCCTCCTCCCCCCCCATCCCCCCCCCCCCGTCCCCCCCCCCCCCCCTCTCCCTCCCCCCTCCTCCCCCGTCCCCTCCCCTCCCCCCCCCCTCACCCCCCCTCCCTATCCCGTCACATCTCCTCCTCTCTCGTCACATCCCCTCCTCCCCCCCCATCCCCCCCCCCCCGTCCCCCCCCCCCCCCCTCTCCCTCCCCCCTCCTCCCCCGTCCCCTCCCCTCCCCCCCCCCTCCTATCCCCCCCCCCCTCCCCACCCCCCTCCCCCCGTCACCCCCCCTCCTCTCCCGTCACGTCCCTTCCTCTCCCGTCACATCCCCTCCTCTCCCATCACGTCCCCTCCTATCCTGTCACATCCCCTCTTGTCCTCATGCATCCCTCCTGTCCCCCACACACCCTCCCATTCCATCACACCCCTCCTATCCCCACACACCTGCTCCTATTTACTGTAGGAAGCAACACCCTCACTGCATTCTCATATGTGCATGTCTGGACTTGGATCATATCTGTCCCTCCTATCGACTCTGTCCCTTTTTACCCCTATCATGAGTCTCCTTCCTTCTCTAAACAGTTCCCTTCTACTTCCATGCCTCCTTTGTATGTATTTTAATCTAGATTCTGCATGTGAGAGGAAATGGGCAATATTTGTCTTCTGTGTTTGGCTTATTTTGTTTAACATAATGATCTCCACTTCCATCCGTTTTCTTAAAAATGATATAATTTTATTTTTCCTTATGGCTGAATAAAACTCAACTGTGGAATAGACTGGAGGCACAGACATGTGATCACAGCTACATGGTAGGCCGATGCAAGAGGATCTTAAGTTCAGAACATGCCTGGACAACTTAGCAGCACCTGTCTCAAAAATTTAAAGACACATTAAAGAGCTGGGTAAATAAAGCCCAATGGTTGAGCACTTGTTTGCTGTGTATGAGACCCTAAGTTGAATCCCTAGTACTTCAGAGAAGCAGAAGGAGAAGGAGCAGGTGGGAAGGAGGAGGAGGAGGAGGAGGAAG